CTCAGCTACAGTTGCTCCTTTGGTAGCGAGATAGCCGAGATAATATTGACCCTTGAGCAAAAGTTAGATGTTAGAGGCCCAAGAATCATAGTTACTGTCATCTAACTTGTTAGTAGACAACAGAGCAGTGAAAAAGTTGGTGAAAATAAAAAGCATTAGGTTACCTTCTCGATAGGCTCTGATACCATGTTAAGATAAGAGATAATGAGCGTGTGTTTCAACTACACCACAGGCTGAGTATTTATATTAACAAGGATGATCACAATCATAGTTACATCAAATATACGGTTACCTAATTACTATAATTATACAAATACTCTCTCTCTAAATAGCATATTTACATATATTTAACACTAACAATACTTGTTGCACATTGATTAATTATGGAGCAAACTAATTGAAATGTCCTAATCTCTCTTATATAACACCACAGGCCCTCAAGCACTGGTACACATAATTCTAAGTAAAAGAGAAGTAACTCAGAATTATGTAGAGCATTAAGACATTCCCTCTAGGCAGTACAAACGAAGTCACTGAGAATGACTTAGAGGCGAGTTACAAGACAATTAAATCAATACTGTATAACAGAGAAGCATAACCGAACAGTGACTAAGGTATGCATTATAGGAATAATTAGAGTTCTACAACATAGTCAAGAGGGTAACCAAGAAGCAAAATGAGGAGAGGAAATTAAAAGTAAAGAAGAATTCAGGAGTGATGCTATAAGAAGTGTCAGGAAGACCTGAATAAATAACTCCCTCAGAAAATAATACATCTCCCCAAAGATCAGCTCACTAATTACCCCACTAGGACAATAGCTAATATCAATCAAGAATTAAGTAATCAGGTAATGATGTGTCTATATTGACATTCAAAGATCTGAATTCTGAAGTGAACTTAAATCTTATAGGAGAGATGAAATAAATTCTTAATGGAAGGTAGGACTGCATATAATCCTGTAGAAATATTGATAGAAGTCATCTATTTTACAATCCCACGATTTACGATCTTTTACCCCCCTCCCAATCCTAGACAAGATCCTGATCTTGACAACAATGCTGTTGCAAGGCTGTGAACTTGGAGATTGGGAATTTATAGGTTCTAGGAAGAAAACTAGACTAAGGTTTTGTTTAAACTAAATTCAATAACAATTCATAATCCACCACGAAATATGATACCAACTGACATTCTTTATTTTGTTACTTTCTTCTTCAAAACAACTCAACAAATTATTTTATCAAAAACCTGTATATTCACATACACAACATCAAATAGTACTAGATAAGCAATTGCATCTAATTGAATAAATGATTAGATCTGTGTTAGACACGGGTAATCAGGCTAGGATAAATAAGAAAAACAATGAACCTTTTATTGATTGAACCCTAGGATTCTGATTAGAGATAACCAGAAATTAGGGAAAGAGAAACATAATATAAAGATGGCTCTTCGAGAGGCCAATACTCTCCAACAATAGTGATCTCTCCGATGCCTCCCACTGTTCTCCCTCCCATTATTTAAAAGTGCATTAACCAACAGATTTCCCTACTAATATTCCTGCTACTATCCTAACTTCCCTAATTAACTTCCTATTATTACGGTTCTCACTCCTCCTACTTTATCTCTAACTAACTAATAAATCTTCCTTATCATTATCCCTTGCATCTCGCCTACCTTTCCTCTTATACACCTTGAATATAGGTGGTCTCCTATCAATACCCCCGCTAAAAGATCCACCTTGTCCTCAAGGTGGAAGTCAGGAAACTGATCCTGAATCTGTGCCGCTGATTCCCAGCTGGTTTCATGTGCGGGTAGATCATGCCACCTGATGAGGACTTCCAAATCGTGCTGAGCAGTTTCGCGTGTCTCCAAAACCTCTGCCGAACGTACTTGCAGCTCATACTCCTCAGAGAGCATGGGTGGAAGTGGTTGGGTTATGCAGTCAGACTTAAGATTCTTCTTGAGGACTGAAATATGGAAAACAGGGTGAATTTAAGAGCCCTCAGGAAGCTGCAGGCGAAAAGCTACTGAACTTAGCTTTTGAGTGATCTGATAAGGCCCGTAGAATTGAAGTCACAGCTTCTCATTGGGTCGCTTGGCCAAAGATTTTAATCTATACGGCTGAATCTTCAAGTACACCCAGTCCCCTTCCTTCAACTCCACATGCCTCTGCTTTTTATCAGCCATAACCTTCATAGTCTCCTGAGCCCGCAGCAAATTTTGCTTCAATTTCTCGAGCTGCTCATCTCGGTCTTTAGTTAACTTATTAACCTCCTCAATCTTAGAAGGTATAATGGTGCCTTTTAACAACATAGGTGGGTCCTGCCCATAAAGCGCCTTAAAAGGCGTAGTCTTTGTTAAGGCACTATAATTTGTATTGAACCAAAACTCAGCCCACATTAGCCAATCTGGCCACCTTCGTGGGTTTGCCTCTGTCAGACAATGCAGATACACTTCTAAACACCTGTTGAATACTTCCATTTGGCCATTGGTTTGTGGGTGGTAAGCGGTACTGAACTTAAATTATGTCCGGGCTAAGCGAAACAGCTCCTTCCAAAACTGGCTGAGAAAGATTTTATCCCTATCCGATACTATGGATGACCGGAAACCATGCAAACGAACCACCTCTTTGAGGAAAACTGCTGCAACCTCTTTCGCTCTAAAAGGATGACAGATGCCAATGAAATCCATTGATATATCTGTCCAACTGTGCTGGGGAATAGGTAGGGGCTGCAACAAGCCTGCAGGAGACAGCGTGTCATATTTATTACGTTGGCAAGAATCGCAACCAGCCACAAAATCCTGGATGTCACGTTTAATGCCCTCCCAATAAACCACATTGGCCAACCGCTTGTAGGTCCTAAAGAAACCAGAATGACCCCCTGTAGGATAGCTATCGAATTCTACTAACAGACCTGGGATTCTAGGGGACTGTTTGGGTAACACCATTCTGCCTTTAAAATACAACCGATTCCCTTTAAGTTCATAACCAGGATGTGATTCTGAAGGATGAAGCAAATCATCCAGAATTTTGTGCAGCTTCTCATCTCTGGATACCTCCTCAGCCCATTCCTCAATGTCTTCATGTTGCAGAACAGAAAGGCCAGCAAATTGTATCTGTCTAGACAAAGCATCTGCAGCTTTATTCTCCCTTCCAGCCCAAAACTTGATATCAAAATTGAATCCCATGAGTTTAGACATCCATTTGTACTGATCTTCAATCCATAACCTTTGATCAGTCAAGAATTTCAAACTTTTCTGGTCTGTCAGAATGGTGAAATGATGTCCCATTATTCAGTAGTGCCGCCACTTCTGAACTGCTAGTGCCACTGCCATTAATTCCCGCTCATATATTGACTTCTTCTGGGCTCTCTCGGAAAGGGGTTGACTCCAAAAGGCCAAAGGACGCCCTTCGTGCATCATAACTGCTCCAAGCCCCTTGCTTGATGCGTCAGATTCCACCACAAACTTCTTAGAGAAATCAGGTACAGCTAGAGTAGGTAATTGAATCATGGCTGCCTTCAAGTTATTAAAAGCAGCGTGTGCATCCTTTACCCAAGCAAAGCTGTCTTTCTTGAGTAGCAAGGTGAGAGGTTTAGCTATCAGTCCAAAACCCTTCACAAAACGCCTGTAATAACCACAAAGTCCCAAAAATCCCCTTAGAGCCTTCAAATCTCGGGGAACAGGCCAGTGCTGTATTGCTGCAACCTTCTGAGGGTCTGCAGTCACCCCTTTATTAGAAATTATGTGTCCCAAGTATTCTAAGGACTGCTGGCCGAACAAATATTTCTTTCTATTAACATACAGCTTGTTGTGTTTTAAGGCTGTCAATACTGCCTGCAGGTGCATCATGTGCTCTTGCTCACTGCTACTGTAAACCAAAATATCATCGAAGAATACTAAAGCAAAATGTCGGAGGTATGGTTTGAGGACCTCGTTCATGAGTGCCTGGAAAGTGGATGGAGCATTCTTTAATCCAAAGGGCATAACGAGAAATTCATAATGCCCTTCATGCGATCTGAATGCTGTCTTCTCAATGTTAGACTCCTTCATCCGAATTTGGTGATACCCCACTTTCAAACCCTGCTTCGAGAAAATAGAGGCACCTCCTAGCTCATCCAGCAGCTCATCAATAATGGGAATGGGAAATTTGTCAGCTATGGTGACTTTGCTAAGGGCTCGGTAGTCGACACAAAACCGCCACCCACCATCCTTTTTCTTGACTAGCAAGATGGGACTCGTGTACGGACTTGTGCTCTGCCTTATGATACTTGCTTCAAGCATCTCCTCAATCATTTTTTCTCTAGGAGTTCCTCGATTCTGCGCATTTGTGCCTCCTGGGCCTTCTAACCCTCTGTCACTATCTCGATCAATCTCTCCATTGCTTCTACACGGCTCTCCATTCCTGTCTCTGACATACGCACTCTGGTTTTTCTTACCATATACGTTTCAACGCAGCAGAATTCTTCCTACCCACAGCTCCAAAGATCGAAGCTCTAATACCAGTGTTAGACATGGGTAATCAAGCTAGAATAAATAAGAAAAACAATGAACCTTTTATTGATTGAACCCTAGGATTCTGATTAGAGATAACCAGAAATTAGGGAAAGAGAAACAGAATACAAAGATGGTTCTTCGAGAGGCCAATACTCCCCAAAAATAGTGATCTCTCCGATGCCTCCCACTGCTCTCCCTCCCATTATTTAAAAGTGCATTAACCAACAGATTTTCATGCTAATATTCCTGGTACTATCCTAACTTCCCTAATTAACTTCCTATTATTACGGTTCCACTCCTCCTACCTTATCTCTAACTAACTAATAAATCTTCCTTATCATTATCCCTTGCATCTCGCCTACCTTTCCTCTTATACACCCTGAATATAGGTGGTCTCCTATCAATCTGAAAATAATACTCAAGTAATTACAGGAAGAAAACAAGAAGATAAAATTGATTTGATAATGAAACTATATTCCTAACAGATAGAGTTAGTAGATCACCGGTCTTAGTGCTGGGGGGGACAGAATGTGCAACAATGGAGAAATTAAATCTTCAACAAAGGTACTAGCTGATAAGTGCCTTGCAATATGCGGTGGGATTTTATGGTGCCAGGTATTCAAAATGTCCATCTTTTCCATCATTATTGTACGATATCTGAACATTTTTATATGATACAGAATTAGAAAAGTTTGTTTTTATTCTGAAGTTATGCTAGGCCTACTAGCTCAAGAACATATACCTTTGATATGACTTTGGCCACTCAATTTTGGGTTTCTGAACTTGAGATACTATTTGATGTACAGTAACAGCTATGAGGGGCAAATAAACTGATGAAAGGAAAGATAGAGAAACGATGAGATTGAACCATTTTTCTTTGCACAGTATTAAATTAGGAAAATTATCTTCCTACCATAAAGGGGATTTTGTTGTGTGTGACATATATATCGATGCATTAGATCATAAACTCCAAGATTGTTGAAGCACTTGACCTTCAAACAGATTATAAACAAAATTGTCGATGATTCAAAGAATCAGTAAATGAATCCCAGAAAATTGTAGCATATAGCTTACAGTTTTCTGCATCAGTGGGTCATGATAATTGAGCTGCACAACATTTTCATGAATTCCATCCAGAATCAAGTCATTATCCCCACTGTACAGTAACATCACAATTTTACTGTGAACATCATATATTTGAACACAAGAGAGATAAATGAGTAAAACAGTATGCAGCCTACCGGTTCGACATTAGGGAGTACAAGGAGTCAAATTCAAAGGACTTGTCTCTAAGAGATTTTCTTTCCATCTTTTTTGTTCTTTTCCTGTGGAAAATCTACAAGAATACAACTCAATTTAAAGTAGTGCTTTTAGACAATTACTGGATACAAAGTAGACAAACTCAGAAGAGTTGCATATATTACCTCTTTCCAGATGTCTAGAACATTCATTGACATGTCCTTCTGACCAACAACTTGGGAACCAATATCAAACTGAGTACCAGTAAATCATATGAATATTATTAATCCAGCATCTAATAAACAAAAGAAATTCCCTTCACACACACAAAGAAAAACAAAAATCTACTCCTAATTTTGAAGTGAAGGTACACAAAGCCACAAAAATCATACAGACAAAAAATCTTCATGGATTGAACCTCATAATATAAAAGAAAATTACAGCTAAAAATGTTGTCGTGATGTCAATTATAGGTTTCTGATATATATTCCTTCCCTTTAATGTTGGAGATGATGCAAGGAGCTCTATGAAAAGCTAGCAAAATATTAGCAGATACCCAACAGTTGATCAGCTAGATAGGAAGTGTTATGAGTAATACGTTTCAGTTGTAAACTAATCTCCAACTAAGTAGGTTTGTATTAGTTAGTTAGTTATCACACTTCACTAATATAAATATTGGTGCTATAGTATTTTGTATTCTGATCTTCTGCATTAATTCATTTCTGATTTCTTCTAGTTTCTCTCAATTTCTTTCATGTCACAAACTTTAACATGGTATCAAAGAGTTATTGTCGATCTTAATACCAACTTCAATGGCTTCTAATGCACCTACCACGTTTTCTCTTATGATTTTCTACTATAACAAGGTCGACAAGACAAATTTTCTTCAATGGCTTCAGCAAGTGGATGCTGTAATTTGAGGTCACAAAATGTAAAAGTTTGTGGTTGATCCAAGAATTTGTGTTTATGATGGGCCTCAACAAAATGGGCCTCCATTGAAGACATACCATCAGAGGAAGGGTAAGATAGGAAGTAAGGGGGACTGTGAAGGAAGCAGTTATGCAGGATCATAACAAACTGCATGCATGGCAAGAGGAGAGAGGAATGAGAGATGTGAGAATCAGGATTATAGAATCAAACAGGCCCTTCTGTGAATATATGGGCTGGCTTGTGGATACAAGGGATCTATGCTTATAAGTCATAATTATTTTTACTAACTGGGTAAGCACACATTAGTTGGAAGCCTAACATTGTTAACTTAAACCATCCCTCATGAGAATTATCTGTCCCATGTCTTTCTTTCACAAAGGATAAGATCAAACCAATTAGCTAGAGACTTTAATAATTGGAAATGTAAAATTCAAAAGTAATAGAATAAAAAAAGCCAAATTAAAAATTACAAATGTTTTCTTAAATAAGGTGGTTGTAGGGAATTAGATATTTCATACATACAGAAAATTCAGATTTTATAAATAATTGTCTTTATACTATTCTAGAAATTATGTAAATCTTGACAGACAGAAACAGGATAATCGTTCACTATAAGGTCAAATTAAAGAGCAATGCAATTCATTTTCCGAAAGAAACTAGGAGTTGTCAATCATTTGTATAAGAAATATGTACAACATAATCAACCTGTATGAATTCAAAAGTGACAGAAAGTTCTTTTGACATGCTGGTTTACATTAATGTCTTACCACATTGAGGGTTTCTTTCTTCTTGGAAAGAAATTGAAGTGTGTTCAAGCATGATCGTATATCACATTCTGTAATGAAGGAGGAAATAAAGTCAGCAAGAGAAGGATCAAATGACTGGAAACATGATTTGGAGAATGTAACATTGAGCAAAAATAAAAAACTTAAGATGAAAAAAGGTATCAAGACACACCACAAAATCAAGTATTAGATTTAGTATTGATCAAGCATTCAAGATGTGATAAAGATTAACCCAATATTTTGAACATGAGAGGAAGTTGTAGACCAGGAAGAGGTATGTCTATGGAGTAAACTTTTTTTCATTTTTTTTCCATCAACCTCAAGCCAAACACATACAAAAATGCAAGGGTAACACCATAATTTGTTAACAATGTAATTATTTGCACAACTTGTGCATTGTAAAATTTAAAAAGATAAGAAAAAATCACCTGTATATTCTGCTAGAGCAGTGAGTGCAACTGCACTAGCTTTCATCCCCTCCTTGTTACATATATATTTCAGCCTACAAAGATCATTTAAGTTTAAGAATGAATCTGTGAAACTAAATAAACACAGAAGATACACTACTAAACAATAATCGAGTGATCTATTATGTGCATGGTAGTTAAAACCTGATTTTGAAAGCCTTACCAATTTAAATGGGGGTGAAATTGTGGCTGAGTAAAATTGTTGTAAAATCCTGATTTAAATTGTAAAATCTCTCAAATTGTGGGATTTTACGATTTCACTTTGATTCTGAAAATTCCTCAAAAAGCCTCTTTTGTTGAACCCAAATATATAGTTAATGCCTCTTTCATATATTTTTTTATTGAACCTTAATGTCGTTGTCAACATTCAACAGTCCTCCCAAGGTTGTTAAAATCGAGTTTAAGTAAACTCGGGGAGTGTGATGAGAGAATATTTTTTGATTTGGTATTATTTTTTGTTTCGTTGATATGTAAATTGATAACTAGGAATGTTGATATATAAATAGAGTAATTAGGGAAAAAATATTGAGATTGCGTAAATACAACAATTAGGATTGCAATATCAGGATTTCATTTATAGATTCTTGTACACTTGTATGAATTCAGACCTTTGGTTACAATGCAATACACAGAAAAATAATATTAAGTTTCTTAATTTTTAGTTGATATCAGAGCTCTCGATACTTGGGAGAGCTATGCTTGTGAACGCATAAACCCAATAGCCGTCTTTGTTACGACACTTGAACCCTAGGTTGCCTTGAGTGAAACAACCCAATGTTTGGTACCTTAATCGTACCATTTTTTGTTCTTAGTTCCTATACACTGTCATCCATCACCATCAGGCCCACTACCAAAGATTGCTCCAATTCGACGTGAAACAGTACTACTGGAATCGCACCATTGAGATCGGCCATACCTTGAAGCGATGTACCGTAAACCTCGCCACACACCTCCACACATTGCTATAGCGTCAAGCACATACACCACCTTCCTAAGCTCCATTCGCAACAGTACATTTACAAATAAGGTCATCTGCCCTCCCTGAGCCTATTTCTAGGCTTGGTTGCTATTTTTCAATGCCGCTTTATCACTGTTTGGAAGTCCCAATTCAGTGTCGTTAAGGAACACCCCTAGATGTATCTTTTCTTTTTTTGCTTTTTGTTTGGCCTAAACAAATTGGGCTTCCGTTAAAGACATCAGAGAAAGAGAAATAACCATAAGGGTAAGATGGGGAATGTAAGCAAGGAGTCTGTTATGAGGGATTCTAACAAACTAAATAGTGGCATGAAGGGAATGGTGCAAAAGATGCAGTAATCAGCCCAGTGGAAGGTAATATGAAAGGATGGATGGAGGAGGGGAAGGTAGGAAATATTTTAGGTAATTTGGGAGCGACTGCTATCACAGGGTGGAGAGATATCCCTTTCTCAATAGCTTTCTTTGTTCTTCTTGTTATCAATGTTTGCTTCATGTGTAAATTGAGGATTAATTCGTGAGTCTATTAATCCAATTTTGCATTCAGTTCCTATCAAGTTGGTGTCATAGCTCCTAGTCCTAGGAGCATTTGATGGTACCTACCAGAATGGAGAACTGGTTGGAGAGTGTCAAACATCGGTTGGAGGGAATGCAAGCTTTCATTCAAGAGAAGTTTCAGAGACTGATGGATGAGATGATGAGGGTGATGACAGAAAGGTTTGAGGCAACTATGAGGTATGAGGGAGGTTAGGACAGAGACAGAAGGTGAAAACAGTAATCAAGACGCTAGGAGAAGGGGAAAATAGGTGAAGCGTGTAGAGGTGCCTTAATTTGCTAGAGATGACTTAAATGGATAGGTGTACAGGGCTGAGTGGTACTTTGAGATTAACAACATTCCCATAGCAGAAAAGTTGGATACAGCAATGGTTTGTCTAGAAGGGAAGGCACTAAAGTGGAATCAGTGGTGGGAACCACGAATCCAGAGGGATTAAGACAGAGGGGTCAGTTATCGAGTACAGAGAACAGTTTGAGTTATTTTCTACTCTTTTTCGTTTTGCAGACGAGGATTTTATTATTGGGGCATTCCTAAATGGCTTGAAGGAAGAGATCAAGGTAGAAGAAAGATTGAGGGATTTAAGGGATTTGAGCACAATGATGGAGCTGGCCCAGAAGGTTGAAGATAAAAATCATTGTTGGGCCAATCGTATGGACCATCCTTTAAGGGAAGTAGGCCGATTTCTATTAAGCAGAGTTGGAGCCCAAGAAACTAATAAGCAAAGTTGGACAGGTAGAGCTGAACCCGATTTTTCAATCAGGAAATAGACACCAACACATCCTAGTGCGAGTTGGGTCGAAACCCAAGGGACCGGTAACATCCCATGTGACTCTTCTGCAACGAGTTTGCATCGCAGAGGCTTAGGGTTCAAGAGGTTGAGGAAGGAAAAGGAAAATGAGAAGAGGCGGAGAGGACTATGTTTTCATTGTGACAAAATTTACACCAGGCCACAATTGTCGCAACAAACAACTCCATGTGATGCTGCTGGGAAAGGAGGACAAGGACCATGGCAAAAAATTGATGGAGGAAGAAGTAGAAGTAATCCTCCAGCTAAATGCAAGCAATATTGCAAGGATGACTTCAAAAAACTCATTGAACTTATGGGGAACTATTTTGGGAAAAAAGGTTATTATAATGGTGGATTTGAGGGTCTCATAAATTGTCCTTGGGACTGGTGGAGGAACTGAAAATTCCAATAGAGGCTACGAAGGGATATTTCATTGAAGTAGGAGATGGGCAAAGGTTGGGTAGCCAAGGTGTTTGTAAGGGAGTGATGTTAGAACTACCCATATTAAAGGTGGTTCAGGATTTCTTCTTGTTCAACTTGGTTAGGATAGATGTGATTCTGGGTTATGAGTAGCTCAAAAGTTTAGGTAAGTTCATTACTGATTTGAGACACCACTTAATTGAAGTACAAAAGGATGGGCAAGTTATTGAAATAAAGGGCGATGTAGGGTTGTCCTGGACAGTGGCTACATTAACAGCTATAAGGAAGAAGTTGAGGAGTTATGAATGTAGATTGTAGTGAAATACCCACTCATGTCAAAAGCAGCTCCAAAAGTTATGAAGGAACTATTAAGGGAGTTCGGTGAATTGTTCAAAGAAGAGACATCCCTTCCACCAAAGAGGGAATGTGACCATGTTACCTATATAGACATCCACATCAGCACAAGAAATTGAAAAGCTTGTAAAGGATATGTTGGCAATAGGATTGATCAGGCCATGTACCAGTCCATATACTAGTCTGTTGATTTTAGTTAAAAAAAAAAAAAAACGACAGTAGCTGGCATTTTTGGATGGATTATCGTGCTCTCAACAGCATAACAGTTCCAAACAAATTTCCCATTCCAATTATCTAAGAATTATTGGATGAGTTAAGTGGAGTGACAATTTTTCTAAGCTCGATCTTAAATTAGACTACCATCAAATACATATGAGAGAGAATGATATCCCAAAAATGGCCTTCCAAACACCTGAAGGGCACTACGAGTATGTCGTGATGCCATTCAGGTTAACACATGCGCCTTCAACCTTTCAAGCCCTCATGAATCAGATTCTTAAAACATATTTACGTAAGTTCGTATTGGTGTTTTTTGATGATATTCTAGTATATAGTTCAGGTTACGCTTCACATATTGATCATCTGAGCATAGTTCTTCAGTTATTGAGAAGTCAAGAGTTGGGATAAGAAGTGTAGTTTTGGGGAAAAAAAGTTAGAGTATCTTGAGCATGTGATTTCCGCTGTTAGAATTTTTGCTGATCCAGCAAAGGTGTCTGCAATGAAAAAATGGCCTGTACCCAAGGATATTAGAAATTTGAGGGGCTTTATGTGCTTGACAGGTATTATCGCCATTTTTAGGTAATTATAGGGTTATTGCTAAACCTCTGACGCAATTATTAAAGAAAAACACTTTCAATTGGTTAGAGGAGGCACAAACAGCTTCTGAGCAACTGAAGTTGGAAATGGAGATTTTGCCAACCTTAACAATGCCAAAATTTGATCTGCCATTTGTGGTCGAAACTGATGTGTCAAGATATGAAATTGAAGAAGTTTTAATGCAACAAGGTCGACCTTTGGCTTTTATTAGTCAAGCCCTATTGGACAGAAATAAAGTGAAATCAGTATATGAGCGTGAATTGATGGCAAATGTGTTTGCTGTGCAAAAATGGTGCCAATATTTGCTGGTTAATCATTTTATTATTAGGACTGACCAAAGGAGTTTGATGTTTCTATTGGAACAACGGGTATTGGCGGGGAGCAGCTGAAATGGATAACCAAGTTAATGGGTTTTGAAATTTTGGGAGATGAGCTATTAAAGGGAATTATGCAGCAGGTAGTATTAAATCCAAGTTCCCACCCAAATTATTCAGTTTCTCAAGGCTTTGTGGTATAAATAGCGGTTGGCAGTTGGTACCGTCCAAAAATTCTGCTAGAATTCCACTTTTGTTGACGGAATTCCACGCGTCATCTTCCTGTGGACATTCCGGGGTTACAACTACAAGAGGTTGGCAATGGTTGTGCACAGTGGGGCGACACCGGTGGTGGTGAGAAGCCGGTCAAAAAAGCACGCTGGAAAGTTGCTGGCGGTGTGAACAGTGGTGGCCGGAAAACTCACTGGCAATTGAACAGTGCGGCCAGAAAAGTTGCAAGCGGAGTGAATAGTAGTGGCCAGAAAATATCAGAAACCGAAGACATGATTTTTAAAAAATAATTACACTTATGAGCAAGTGGATCACAGGGAAAGGACGAATTAAGGTTTCCTCCTTGCTAGGCTCTTGATACCATGTTAAGATGAGAGAATACGAGAAGGCATGAAAAGAATTTCATGTGTTTCGACTACACCACAGGATGTATATTCATATTAATAGTAATAGTAATCATAACTACAAAATTAAGGACAAATATACAGTTACCTAATTACATGGGTATTATTTCTTTAAATAACATATTCACATATATTTAACAATTTAGTCACATACAGTGAAGATCTTTAGACACCGGTGAGGAGAGTAGATTACATGAATTTTAGTATGGTAAAAAGGTGTTAGGAAGATCCAAAAAAACCTTAGACGAAACTATTCAAAGAGTTTGGTTCCCACCTCATGGCACCACCACCACCTACTGCCCTCCTGACCGCTGTTTGCCTCGTTGCAAGGCTCATTATATTCGAGACCTCCTTTGTTGATTGTGGCCCTTTGCTACCAAGATGCAAACATTTAAAACATTGTTCCTTCAACCTCTAGGTGATATCTATTGTCACATACGATTTTTTTTCTGCCATGGCTGAACAAAATAACACTCATCCTATTGGCTCCCTTAGGCCCATTGACCTTTGCATATTGTAGAGATCATACTGTCTTGATGGTTAGAACGACCTACAATGGGCTCAATGAACCTTCTCTTGAATGAAGGGAACAATCCAATTCAATATGCTTTGTCCTTTCATGAAACACTAGATTCAATGTAATGTAAATGACAGCTTGATTGTCACACCAAAGTTTCATAGAACTAGTGTTGGCAAATCCTATCTCCTCCAACATTTGCTTACCCGCAAAATAATTAGAACCATAGAGTAATCAAGTATGTCAACTATTACAATATAAATTAAGTAGACAAATAATTATAGTGATCAAACGTTAGAACCATTAAGTAATCAAGCATTCTAGATATGTATGAACTATGTAAAGCTAATCATCACCTGTTTACCACACGACTAACAGTTGGTTGGACAAACATATGAACCCTGTCAAAGAACAAAAAGTTTGTATTCAAGAAATCAAATTATATACAAATTAAGATCTATAAAATTGATGGAAACAGAAAAACTGGAATAAGGGATAGGGGATCAAAGTTGTCGATAAAGAAAACTCTGGTATCTGCAAGAGGAAAATCCATTAAATAATATCTAGAAAAGAAAAACCATCATTATCTACACATAGCAGTACTATAACAGACAAAAGAAAAACTTGACTGACAAGCAGTCCCCTAAATCATGTATCCTCAATTAACAAGGTAGCCAAAGGACAAAGACAATCGTTAGGCAGCACTAAATTTCTAGCATCTTGTGGCAAGGGGCACCAGAATAGCATCAAGCCAAGTGATGTAAGGAACTAAGATTTGAACAAAAAATGGGAATAAAAGAATGAAATAAAGACAAATAACTAATATGAAACACAAGATTACCATATAATTAAGTTTTTATGCACCAAAACAAATACAAAATAATAGATTTTCAAGATAAAGTACAATAGAAGTTCACACGCATTAAATTCACACTTAACTAAAACACCATGTGGCAACTCTATAATTCAGAACAATAAACTTCCCACTATTATAACAAATTACCTAAAATAGATGACAAAATCCAATGAAAATTACAGCGGGAATATTCTGCAATCAAAAAACCATCATGATTGCCCCATCTTTCTCTTGCAAAATTAAATATAATTCACTAATTGTTTAAATCAATATCACTTATTTTCTCATGCAATTGCTTTGCGTCTTGATGAGAAGATCTTTCTTCTCTGGAAACAGCAAGCTGAAACTATAATCAGAGCACACAGATTGCATCGATTTATTGTTAATCCACAAATTCTTGCTCAATTTCTTACTAAAGAATATCAAGATTGTGACAATATCAGTGAAGGCCATCTGCAGTACGAGCAACAAGATCAACTGTAGTGCTCTTGGCTTCTTTCATCTCTGTGTAAGGCTATTCTTAGTCGTGCAGTTGGTTGCGCTCACTCATGGCTTGCATATACATATATGATATTCTTGCTGTGATATTTTGAATTAGTATTAACTATTTTAATAATAATAATAAAATGTATAGTAAGGGTGTCACACAAGACACTACAGAGGGAGGCATCAATTTCCTTCTAGCGGATCTGGTCTTTGGTGGGAATATCCTTGGCCAGTTTGAGTAGATGGTCATGGCAACCTTGACATTGAAACCATAATTCGACAGCTGCTGCCCATGAGCACTCCCCACTAATTTATCACAGGGAATCAAGGGAACTGAGGTGAAGCTGACAGCAGTGGAGGTGTTAGAGCTAGCACCTGGGGCAGATATGGTCAAACAGAGTTGCCAACAAGGTCATCAAAGGAGTGGGCAGCTGGCAAAATAGCACATGCACGTGGACTGTGCAGCACATGGACGTCACACACAGAAATGAAAGTGGCACATGCAACAGAGGGGGACAAAAGGCTTTGAAGGTGGGCAGCGTTGACGAAATCTGAGGCAACTAGTGGTGGCTAGGTGGCAGTTGACAAGGTCTGGAAAGAGCAGTGGATGGAGCACACTACTGTGGTGCTTCAGTGTTAGGGCACCAAAGAGAAGAAACATCACTGTAAAAAGAACTACTGATACCATATAGATCTCAAAATTTTATCTATTGCTGACCACACAAGTATGTACATATAACCGTACAGAATATTAATGTGATGCTAAATCCAATGGTTAACATCAAGGAATTAGTAAATTACTTGCGTAACATCATTCCTAGTATGTGTTTTACATGTTACTAAGTGCTAGATATCAACATAGGACTACAATATTGATGTCATATGTTAGTTATCTGAATTAGTAACTTACTTGGCCACCTGACGTAATGGTCTTAAGGCAGGTACATACAGGTCATTACAAATGCAAATCACCTACATTGACAAACAAATATTATCATCACCACAAATGATTTGTCTAGTGAACATTGAGGATATGAACATCAAAACATCCAAAACTCACAGGTCTTGACAGTGATGCTGTTTTCTGACCCTTTTTCAACGACTTCCTTTCCAGTTGTCCTTTGCCCAAACTTTGCTTCCCTGCATCAGACATCCTTTTGACAGAAATCTGCAAGATTTAGTTTGAATAGAGCTTTATGGTTTCCCCAAAACAAACTTGCTTTTATGTTCCTTTCCTTATTAGTGGCAGACATACCAGCATAATTTTCTTTGCTTAGAAAAAACTAAGGTTTTTTATGTTAATGAAAGGGTAACTAGTCAATTACCAGTGAAACAAAACACTAGGAACTTCACTCCTCTCAGAACCAAGGAAAATTCATGAAAAATATGCAGTTCTATAGTAAAATGTATACTTAAAAAATAAAAAATCAAGATAGTTATGCTTTCAGAGCCTAATATACAACTCTACCCTCTAAAAAGTGCATTAATATTAAATCTACTTTACAAAACAATAGAACCAGAAAACTACATTCAGTTACATACAAATCATATCAAGCCTATCATAACGTGTCTGGTAAGATAACATATGTTCCAGCAATTTAGATGAATGCATGAATAGTGAACACAACCAATAAATGAATTAGTGGAACCACAATAAAAATCAAGGTACAAACTGTGATGAAATTGAGACCTTTGACCATGTGAAAAGAACCCATTATATGACTATAATTTGAAAGGTCTGCTTAGACAATTCACTTTAGAAGACAGACCAAACATGTCAACTGTAGTAAAATATTCTGATTTCCTTCCTATTTTTCTCTCTTTTAAAGGATTGTAAGATAGGAAGAAAAGAATGTAAGAGAATGTAGAGAAAGAAAGCAAACTCTCTTAGGAGTTTGTCGAAGAATTCATTAACCACCTTGGGACTGTTACAGAAATGTATATAATGATACAAAACTGAAAGCTAACAGTTTAACAGAATCTGTAACTATTATAACAGAAAAACTGATGCAAAGTTTTAATACAACAGAGTTGTAAACTCTAATATCCCCCTGTAAGATCAAGAGGGGTTGGCAGAAAGTCTGTCAACAGAGTGGAAAATAGGGTTGTGAGCTAGACTAACAGTGCTTTGATTGTCACAAAAGAGGACAAGAGGAGCATGAAAGACTTGAAGTTCAAAGAGGAGAGACTGAATCCAAGAGACTAATAAAACTGGTCTAGTATAGTAAGAGAAAGAAAGAGAAAAATATCTTCATTATTCACAAGAATTCCTCTGGTCAATGTGACCCCGAGGCAGAAACCGTACGTGTATAGCATACTCCTAGAGACCCCGAATACTCTCCCAACCCAATTGCTAAACCCAACCTGTTCCCTGCCTTCCCTCCTCTTCCTTTTATATCCCTTATTCTATTAATGACCATTCCTAACTACATTAGTTAGTTCCGTTCTAGTCTCCTACCTTATTCTTTTATTGCCTCGTATACACTTTCTTTAATATTGGTCTGCTATAAGAGACTTCTGTTGTGGCGAGGGCTAAACTATGGAATTCCGCCTCTCTACTAGATCGAGCAACAACAAATTGCTTTTTAGACCAGCATAGCACGCCTGTCATCCGAATCCGAGACCCAGTCAGCATCACAGTAAGCATTAACAGAATAGTGAAAGGTGAAAAAATTTGGCAGGAGAAATAAACCAAAATGAATAGTGCCTTTAAGGTATCACAACATGCATTTAACGGCCTGCCAGTGTGGTTCCTTAGGAGCACTCATGAACTGACACACTTTATTGATAGAGAAGCTAATTTCAGGTCTTGTAATAGTAGCATATTGTAGGGCACCAACAACAGAACGATATAGAGTAGGATCAGAAAAGTTTTCAGCACCAATTCTGGTCAATTTACATCCACCAACCCTAGGGGAATAGATAGCATTTGCCTCAGCCATATTAGTCTTAGTCAATAAATCGCGAATATATTCAGATTGAGAGAAGAGAGTTATTGGAGTGATAAGTGACCTCAATTCCCAGAAAATAGTCAAGATCACCTAAGTCATTAAGAGAAAAACTCCAAATTTAGCTTGAAAACAAGAGCGAATGAAAGTAGAATTGTTACCAGTACCAATGATATCATCAACATAAATCAGCATGTAAACCATAGTAGAGGCATCTTTAAAGATAAAGAGAGAGGGATCGCACTTGCTGGACTGGAAACCATGGAGAAGAGTGCTTCTTAGTTTGTCAAACCAAGCCCGTGGGAAATGTTTGAGGCCATAAAAGGCCTTGCGGAATTTGCAGACTAGAGTTTTATTTGTAATCTCAAAACCAGGGAGCTGAGTCATATAGACTTCTTCTTTAAGAATGCCATTGACGAAAACATTGTTGACATCCAAATGTTGAAGTTGCCAATGATTTGTTACAGCAAGTGTGGGCAGGATGCGAACTATGACAGGCTCAATGATAGGGGAAAAGGTTTCGTTGTAGTTATAGCCCAATCTCTAAAGAAATCCCTTTGCAACAACTCGAACCTTATACTTGTTGATGGTGTCATCAGAATTTTCTTTGACCCGAAAAATCCACTTGCAGCCAGCCAATGGGTGTTTTGGAAGGAAGCAAATCAACAAGTTTCCAAGTATCATTTCTTATGAGAGCATCATATTCAACCTGCATTGCTGCACGCCAAGTAGAGTTAGCAAGAGCATCATAATAGATTTGGGTTCAGCAAGAGTAAGAAGTAGAGTGGGCTAGATTCTGAGTTGAATGATGCTAGATTTAGCCCAGGTAGTCATTGGGTGAATGTTATCCGCCCTTACTAATGAGACAAGAGGATGCGGAAGAATGGGATGCGGCAAAGGATGAGAATCAGAAGGATGACGTAGAAGGTGCAGGTGGAGGAGCAGATGAATGTAAGATATTGAAAGGGTTGGTGGTATGAGTGGAGCTGATAGGAGTGAGTGAGGATTCTGTGGGGAAAAGAGTGGTGAAGGGAAGACGGTGCTCATTGAAAATGACATTTTTGGAGACATAGATACAGCCATTGGTAGAGAGACACTTGTAGCCCGTATGAGACATATAGTAGCTGAGAAAAACACATTCTTGAGAGTGGGGCTGAAGCTTGTTAGAATTGTAGGGACGCAGCAAGGGAAAACAAGAGCAATTGAAAACCTTGAGAAACTTGTAATCAGGAAGCTTGTGAAATAATTTTGGAAAGGAACCTCACCTTGGATGGCAGTGGAGGGCAGCCGGTTGATCAGGTATACACTAGAGATTACTACATAGTCCTAGAAGGTCATTGGTAAAGAGGCTTGAGATAACAAAATCAGAGACATTTCAATGATGTGTCTATGTTTGTGTTCCACTACACCATTCTGATGATGGGTATGAGGACAAATAAAGCGATGAATGATCCCTGAATCAGCAAAGTGTTGGGTAAAAGGGCAAAATTCACCACCCCAATCAGACTGAACAGCTTTGACGGGCAGTGTCTAAACCAAACTCTGAAACTGTTTGAACACATGAAGGGCTCTGACTTCGATTTCAAGAGGTACGGCCAAGTAAAGCGAGTGTAGGCATCAACAAACGTAATATAATACCTGTAACTATATTTTGAAACACAGGGAACTATGCCCAAAGATCAATATATATCAAATCAAAGGGTGTAGAGTAAACAGATGTAGAGGGAAAGGATGGCAGTTTATGGGATTTACCAAGACAACAATGAAAGCATAAAGTAAAATCAGATTTATTAATGGAAGAAATATTACACAATTTGAGAACATTTTTAAGGACTTATGACCATACTTGTGACAGATTTGGCATTGAATATCAGCATAACGGCCATGAGCACCTCCTAGTCCACCATGGGTAAAAGAACGACTACCACTGCGGCTGGGAGCAGGATGAGACAAATTACCATAACCAGAACCAGAGAATGAACCTGAGGAGGCATGTGTAAGAAGAGCATGCCCTGCAGAATCTTGGGAGGAAGACTGGGTACCTTTAGCGACATGCACACTGCCCAGGGTGTTATTTCTAGACTATTCAAGGCGGGATGCATAGGCTAGAAGTAGGGAAGAAATGTCATCAAGAGTGTGAGGATAGATTTTTGAACCAAGAACCGTGACTACAGTGTCATATTCATCAGGCAATCCATCAAGAATGATATCAATGTGTTCACTTAGTGAGACAGAATCTCCAATGGATAACAGAGAATCAAGTAAAGTCTGAATACGAAGGAGATAAACAGTAATGGGTCGATTATTAAGGGAAATTGTATGAAGCTCAGCGCAGATTTGCTTCTTCTTTGCACGAGCAGCAGCAAGAAAATGCTCATGCAGTTCGTCCCAAACATGCCATGACGTGGAGCACTGTATCAACCAGGGAAGAACAGGTTCAGAGATGGTGGACTGAAGCCATGACAGGAGGAACTGATCTTGTTGCTCCCATAACTGAAATTCAGGTGAAATTGTGTGGGAATCCCAAACTTGGTCAAAACAAATTTCGGAGGACTTTGTGGAGCAAGAATGTAGTTGAGACCATGGCCTTTGATGACTGGTTGAACTTGTGATCGCCAGGAAGATAATTGAATCAGGGAGTTTGGCAGTGACAGTGTGGGAAAAAGTCGTTGGAGTAGGCAGCACAGCCTTTGGTGTTGGTGGCGGGGGAGGCGGTGGACAATTGCAATCAGTGTTATCATTGGCTGCTGAAGCCATAACAAACCAGGTGGATCAGAACTAAGCTCTTGATACCATAAAGGATTGTAAGATAGGAAGAAAAGACTGTAAGAGAAAGAAAACAAACTCTATGAGGAGTTTGTCATAGAATTCATTAACCACCTTGGGACTATTACAGAGATGTATATAATAATACAAAACTGAAAGCTAACAGTTTAACAGAATCTGTAACTAACTATTATAACAGAAAAATTGATACAAAGTTTTAATACAACAAAGTTGTAATCTCTAATATCTTTCCTTATTTATGTAATTAGCATAATTGGGTATAATTGACACCCATGATTTTAGTATAGAATTAATTACCGTAGCTGTAGGGCACCATTGTACACTATAAAATTAATGAGAAATATTCATTCAATATTCTGTTCGGTATCAAATTTACAACTTCAACTATGACTGACCATCTTTAGAAGAACCTCCACTGCACCCTTGCCATCACCAAGAGCTCCATCAATTTCATCCACCACCTGAAAAGAAAAGGCATCAGATAATCATTTTTTCTGCATGCAAGAATAGTAAGATACAAAACGAAAATACTTAAAGGAAGAAAAAATACCAGACACTTTGGCCTTGAATCAGACAAGACAGAGTTCATCTGAACCACATCAAGAATTTTAGCCTCAATTCTTGATGCAGAACGATCATCACTTGCATTAACCTACAAAATTTAAAAGTCTCATTTGTTATAAGATGAAATTATAAAAGAATGGGGGGGGATTAGATAGAGAAGAAAAGAGAGAATAAGCTAATGAGTAATCTCAAATTGATATTGGTGTTGTGATGTGAAACAAAAGACAAGCACTGCAAACTAACCTGTTTATAATAACACAAGACATCTAGACCCCTGATTGAAATATAATGATGGAAGCCATGCCTGAGATATCATCTAAAGATATGTTAATAATATGAGAATGTTTTCTAGATATTCAAACATTTCCCTTCAACTCCACCTATGGCCCCATAGTGGAAAAGATTTCTAAAAACCGTCTACAGTGATTTGATCGCTTGCAGAGAAGATTTGGAGGCCAACAATGAAGAAAGTGAATGACATGACTTTTAGTCCAGTAAAAAGGGGTAGAGGGAGACTCAAAAGAAGCTTAGAAGAAGTTATTAAAAGAAACCTTTTCATTAATAATATTTATGAAAATTTGGTTTTTGACCTACCTCAATGGTGTCTGTGTGATCCATGTAGCCAAACTCACCTAATGGAATAAGGCTTGGCTGCTGTTGTATTCAAACATTTCCCTTCAAGCTAAAGCTTACAAAGCTTTAGGCTTGATATAATTAAAAAATTAAAAGAAAATAAACTAAAGTGTAACTAGTGGAAATCAAAAACAACTAGGACTTTGAGACAAGATGTTAGAACTGGTTCAATATAGATGGAAAAACAAAACCACAGATTGTATTTATTCACAAGAATGCCCCCTGATCAAGGTGACCAAGAAACAGACAAAGATGTTAACATTGTTTACAGGGTCTTGACCCTGGACTCTCCCCAACCTTACAATGATCATCCTCCCTGTTCCTTCTATCCTATCATATTTCCTTTGATGTACAATCTCTTACTAACCACCTCCAACTAATTTAGTTAGTTAGGTTCTGACCCCCTACCCCTGTTTTAATTCTTTTAACATATACTTGCTTTATTAATGATTTGCTATTACAAGACTAGAGCATACGGGAGTGGAGACAAGGCCATGCAATGACAAAATCAGAAATGAGGTCTGAATAATTCATGTTGAACTGAATAGTACATAGTGATATATAACATGTTACAAGATACAGAAAAGGAAATAACAATACTCGTAATTATGGAATAATTTCATGGAAATGAAGAATAATACCCTGGACAAAATCCATTTATTGAAGGAATTTCAAAAATTATACTCCGAATTACTTTACACTCTATTTACAGCATTTACAACTCAACAAAGGCCAAATTGCATCTGGTATAAAGACAGGGAAGGTGTGAGGCATAGCCAACATAAATCACCACCAAAATGATAATCAGTGGGATAAGTCAGAACTTGTATGATTGACGAACGCAAAAGGACAACATGACAGAGACATTCCAACTCTCTTCCCCTCAATTCCATGCTAGCATTGCAAAAGAACCATAAAATAGCCAAAACAAAGACAGAGTAGAGATATACACTACAAAGAACACAAAGAAATGGCCCAAACATGCCAAACCTGACAGAGAGAGAAAACACATCATCTCTGACCATTTAATATAGAAAATCTCAGTCCAAGGGAGCAAACAGCCACAAGGTAACAAAGTTAATGGGAGCTGGGCCCAACCTAAACATGGTGAGTGGGACAAACAAAGGAAGGTGGAGGAAAGGTGGCGGTGCATTCTTAAAAAAGGCTGCTGGACAGATTACATTGACCCATAGGACAAGGTGTGGCCACATGTAGAAAGAGCACACAAGTCAGATAAAGATCAAAAACATTCACAATGCACCCTTACTCATGTTTGAAGTTAACAGATGAGGCAAAACACAGCAAACCATGTTCTAATGGTGGCACAATTTCAGGCACTAGCCAATCTTGACATGACAGAGCATGCTGAGGTGAAAGGTACATTGAAGAGAGAGAAGGTACACATACAGGTGCAGTGAAGATAGACAGAGTGCCCTAGAAGAAAATATCAAAAGAGACAGCTAATCAGGAAGAAAATAACAATGGAAACAAAGTACAGTTCTAAGTTTTAGGGAATTTGGCAGCAAAAGTGATGCAACGAGTGATAGAACACCACACCAACTGAGATTGGTGTATACATGTGATAGATGTATTTCTGTTAGCGTCCATCTTAGTTAGTTATGGATTTGTGCAATTCCTAGAGTTTGTTATTCTTTTAACTGCTGCAGTCTTGTATTTAAACCTTTATGTACTAATTCATTTTGACAGATAATAATAATACAGTTTCTGTTTTACAGTTTCTCAATCTCTCTCTCTCTTTCTCTATACTATTAGAATTCTACTAATATGTTTTAATACACAGAAATATACAGAAAGTATAGCAAGAATGTTGTCCCAAAGTTGAGAAACTCATGCAAAGAATTAAATCTGTCTAAAACTACCAAATACATATAAGAACTGCTTCCCAACTACTACTTACATCATATACACATAACTGACCTACATAATCGACTACATAACTATCACATTACAGAGTTTCTACATCCTATGCCCCTTTCAGCAGTATACATTCCAGATAGGTTAGTTTCTTGGAATTGGATTATCCAATAATGAATCATCAGCCTATTGGAATTTCAAGTCTCATCATCAACAGGTAACAATTGATGGCCTAGACTCTAATACCATGTTGATATTAGAGGCATTTAGTAGGAAAAGAAGAAATAAGAAAATAAGCTTAAGTATTTCTTGGCCTACACAATTGGGCATGAAAATGGAATCATCCTACTGACTACCCCTAATTAGAAGCTTCAAAATGGGATCGGAATTTGACTTAGAATTATGAATTATAAATTTATGCTTAATTCTTTGGATAGCCCATACCAAGGAACTCTGATTCTAACAAAATTGCAATTGCAATTTCATTTGCTATAATTCCAATTCCACACACCACACAGATCTTAAATAAATGATTATGAAATTGATATTGGTTTGATGAGAAACAAATAACAAAGTGTTACAAACCCACACTCCAAAAATAATTTGTCGAACAAAGAAAACACAAATGGAAAGGTAAATGGGTAATAGTTTGTATTAAAAGATAGGACACAACAATGCAATAAGGAATAATCCTCCTAGTCCCAGAGCACAGCTCCGTATAGAGAGCACTAAAGGCTTTCTATCCAAACCACAAAACAGAATTGCCAAAAAGATACCCTCCCATAACCTCCCTCACGATAATGTAGCAGCCTATGCAACAAATTCTCTCTCCTCAAACTGACTTGCGTAATCAGCAATTCTATTTCTTTTCTGATTTCTTTTTCGTCCTATAATAAACAATCAACTCCTTGGGCTTGTTTACTGCTTCCTGAACCAGAGCTTCCTCAAGCCCATTATCTGTTGGGTTCTCATCACAAAGCGTTAATGCAAAAGGCAAATTAATGTTGGACAAGGGATTGTGAGGAGCTGTTTCTATGTGGATAGGAGTATATGTTATATTATATTTGCATTTTGCTAGTTTTTTGTTCTCAAGTCTTGTTCTTATTTTAGTAAATTTGTTTTTCTTATAAAAAAAAAATGCAATAACCCCTATTTTCTCTAAATATTGACTCCAAATCATAATAACAAGGAAATAAATCATGAACTACAATTAAATATAAAAATCATTCCTAAGAGACCATCTAAGATACTCTAAATATTCTAAAATACAATAATAATATGATGAGATATTTTCTTGATATTCTAACAATATATTAAAGCTTTTATAAGAACAGTGAGTAAGCGTGTAAGAGAGAGAAAGTATGTTAGCAAGGGACGAGAGAAAGATGTAGTAGTAACACAACCAAATGAAAGCAAAGAAATTTGTAATATTAAAGATGACAAATATAAGTCAACATCATCAAGTAGTTCCATTTGACCATATGTACTCACAAGGATGTTGGAATTATGATGTAATTATAATGTTGTATATAGAAAAATTAGTATCTTTGTAATTACAGTAATTAGGTATCTGTGTATTCTATATTAATGATTTCTATTATAAATACATGCTCCGAGTAGTCTAGACCAAACTTTGACCAAGTCAAGAGGAGTCACTCTCAGATCCAAAAAGGTATAGAAGACTTGTTAGAAAATTAAACTATCTAACTGTTACTTATCCAAACATCTCCTATGAAGTTAGTGTAGTGAGTCAGTTTCTTAACTCTCCTTGTGATGCACATTTGGATGCAGTATTCACATCCTGAAATATGTTGAAGGAGAGCAGGAGAGATTTAAGAACAGGTCTCTTGTATGAAGACGATGAACATACTCAGGTTTTGGGGTATTCAGATGCAGTTTAGGTAGGATCACCGAGTGATAGGAGGTCTACGTCTGGCTATTTCATCCTTATTAGTGATAATAAGATTTCCTAGAAAAGCAAGAAGCAAAGTGTGGTTGCAAGGTCTAGTACAGAAGCAAAGTATTAAGTCATGACTTTAGCCACTTGTAAATTAATTTGGCTTAAGCAATTGCTCAGTTGAAATTTAAAAAAGTTAGACAAATGACACTTATTTACAATAACTAGGCAGCTCTGCATATTGACTCCAATCTGTTTTCTGATGAGAGGCCTAAACATATTGAGATAGATCATAGACTATCATTTTATTAGAGAGAAGATCTTATTACCAATACTAGCTTTATAAATTCTCGTAATGAACTGGAAAATATATAAGCAAGTCATTAAGAAGTCCTCAAATTAGTTATATATGTGACAAGCTTAGTGCATACGATTTATATGCTCTAACTTGAGGGGGAGTGGTGGAATCATGTGTAGTTACAAAGATACTAATTTTCCTATATAAGCAAGTCATTAAGAAGTCCTCAAATTAGTTATATATGTGACAAGCTTAGTGCATACGATTTATATGCTCTAACTTGAGGGGGAGTGGTGGAATCATGAAATTTATAGTAATATTGTAAATAGGAAAATTAGTATCTTTGTAACTACAGTAATTAAGTAATTGTACATTTTGTATTAATGATTCATATTATAAATGCATACTCTGCTATGTAGTCTAGACACACAGATTTATCTTGTCTCTCATACTTCTTTGTCAACAAAGGACAGCAAGAAAGAATCCCTTCTATCAAATAAATACATAATTTATGGTCCATTGATAGAGTAGACTAAAAATTGGGGTAAAAGATGATTACAACTCAGGATTGAAGTTTTTCCCAAAAAGACTCTTCCATGCAAAGCTAGAACACATAAAGACGATCCCCACTAGTTCAGTACAATTCAAGAGGCACCGATCCTCTTCCCCACTACATATTGGTCCAATACATTTTATGATCCACCAGCCACCTTCACTCTAACCAAATCAATTGGGCCCATTATTAGCAGGCCCATTTTCTATTTACATTACTACCATGATACATGAAATTAGATTTAACATAATTCATAAAATCCAACAACAAAGTTAGGCAACCAAATGATATTAAATGCATAAAACACAAGAAAAAATTAAACTTAATTATTTATTAAAAAAAAAGTAGAAAAGGCTACTGCTTGAAGATGATTCTACAAGTAAAAATAACCCAAAAAAATACCTCCACCACATCATATCCACAGTGCCTAGCAGCTACATGTGCAATTGTTGTTTTACCAAGACCTGGTGGTCCACACAGTAGAAGTATCTGTAATCATTACAAAATTTCAGTTAACAATTGGATTCAACACTCAATATCCAACAACAGGATTGATAAAACATTTTTATATTTCAAATGGCTGCAACTCATGCCATGTATAAACAACAGAAGCATAGTGCAACTGCATGATTAGAAGGATCAGAAGAATAATATTCTGGACAATACATTAATATATTTGTTGTGTTATTAAAATGATTCAAATATTAAAAGTCTAAAAAGTGAAAGTCCATTGACAAATACTCTAGAGAGAGAAAAAGAAAGAAAGCTGCAGCATGTGGCAATTTATGCTCAGAATTATAGAATATATTTGGAGGGAAGGATAAGTATTTTTATCTAGAAACTATAAAATTATCAGAAAACACAAATGAAAAATTCTCAGGTGGAAGCTGAAAGAATAGAGCTGTTTCCAGATTATAAATAATAATGAAGACTTTTATGTTTCAACCAAAAACATGATTACATTTCAAGAAAAAGAAACTGTTTTTAAAATAATCAATTAAAAGAAATTGAGTCAATAACATGATTGGTACACACCCAACCATTGTGTGCATGTTTGTGCACGCATGTGTAAAGAAGGCCAAGAACACTACAGATATAGCAAAATGTGTTGTATGCAGAAGCCATCAATGTATTAATAATAATAATAACTCGAATAGATAATCCCAAATACTAATACATATTATAATCCCATCTGGAAAACTGTTAAATTGTTAATTATGCTCACAAATTTGACAAAAATGATATCCAGTCTTTACAAAATTGACACAAGTAATAGCACAATTCTACCAAGTTGACACTATTGCATATTCCCAAAAATGACAAATGCATGTATAGCTCTGTAAGAATGATCATTTGGCCGCAAAGCATATTAACTAGACCACTTTCATGAGGAATATGCAATCAAGCAAATCATATAAATACCTTTTCTTCTGGTGGACTAATATTCCTTGTCTTTGCATCCCATGCATCTTGAATACTCTTTGAACTACCACTCTCATCCATACTTCTAGAATTTGTATACCTTCCCCCACTACTCCATTTGGATCCTCCATTCATCCTTTGAAACTTTGAATTCAAAGATTTCTGATTGTGGACAATAGAAGAATGCCATTTCAAGGCGGTCAAAACATTATCAGATGTGCTTCGAATTTCAGATCCAAACACAATAGAATCCCATTGTTTCAACCACAAGAGTACCTGTCCTAGACATGAATCAAATCAACCAATCAACACAAGCCAAGCCAAGAAATCCAAAGGATATTTCACAGCTATAAAAGCTTTAATCCATGACTTTCAGCTAGATGCTATGGCAAATATGTACCTCGCGATTTGTTTGTTCATCACTGAGAAGCTCAGTAAACGATTTCGGAGCATATTTATCTACCCAAAGTTGCTTATGGACCATTCGTGTTTCAGGAATATCTAGAACACTTTGGCCTTCAGAGCTCACTTCCAAGGCCTTCAGCATGAAAAGAACATGAATAAGTAATCAGAAACATCACAAGTCAAGCTTGATAACAAATTTTACTTGTTTTCTGAGTAACAAACAACCACAACACAAAAACATGGAAATTTTCATTCAAATTTTAGGCACACTAAACTTGGAAAACACAGTCTTAAGTCCAAACCTTGGCGAAAGCCTCTTGCTCCAACCTCTCTAGTATAACACTAATTGGTTCTGAACTATGCTCTGCCAGCAAACAAAAATCCAAGTCACTCATTTATCCCATTTATATCCATAAGCTCGGTATCAAGAAAATAGAATAAATTAATGTGTGGAAGTGGCATTTTAGAGGAAAGAAAATAGAAAAAAAAATCATTTTTAATTGGATAATTTAAAAATAATAATTATAAATTAGAATAAATTAATATACAGAAAATTTTAACCCCAGCTCTCGGGACTAAGTTCAAGCAATTAAAAATAGTAAAATTCTATTGTGAAAAATAACATTTAATAAACTTTTATATTTTCAATGTAATAAATGTACTACTTTTGGATACTTAAACTGAGTACTAAGACTAAGTTATCAAAACCCATGTTATACTTCTTGATTTAAAAAGCAGAACAGTGATCTTCACTTTTCTTTCCCTCCAAAACCCTTTGGTCCAACATGTCCTGAGAAACTGAAGTTGCGAAAAAGAAAATAATGAATTGGCTTCAAATGTGAAAAAAATGCTACCAGCAGAATATCCTTTGCAATCGAGCTTCGTGACGTGCTCCTCTCCTTGGAACCGATTGAGCTTCGCATAAACCCTGTCACCGTTGGGGGCAGTAACCGGCATACACTCCCCGTCGATCTCAGAGGCGAACCTCGACAGCGTCTTCTCCTTCAAAAATTTCGTTTCATGTTCCACCAGAACCGGTGGAGGAGAGTACCGTAGCCAATCCTCAACCGTAACCCTAACCTTCGCTCTTTCCTCCTCTTCTGAATCGGAACTCGATCGCGATCGCTTGTGGCCGTCGGTTTTGGTTTCCAAAGGAATAGCGAGATCTGATTGTTGTGGGTCGAAGTCGGGGAAGTGAGGATTTGATTCGAGCAATTCGAGTTCTTGGTCTTCGGGGAAGTGAGAATTTGACTCGAGCAATTCGAGTTCTTCGGGGAGAGGAATGTCCATGTCCGTATCCATATCCATGTCCAAACGATTAGTGTTCGGTGGTAGTGAGAGTGTGCGTGAGAGATAAAGGTTTCAAATGAAGAGCCTCGGGAGGATTGAAACATGCAGGTTAAATAGCGGCAACTCCACTTGTTTTGGCGGGAAATGGGAGACGTGTGACGACACTGCCAATGATATGGGCGTAGAGGCTTGTGGGCCGTTAATTAAGTAGGGAATGAGATTAACGAAAAGGGGAAAGAAACCAAACTTTTTTTAATTTCTAATTTTCATTTAAAGGAGCCAAAATAAAAATATAAATAAATTACAAATAAAAAGTAATTGATACTTGCCACGGTTCGGTAAATCTGAGAAGGAAATCACTATGCAGGTCTTTTTAGCTAAGATGGGTCACGGAGGTTGAGGAACTTATTTCTCAAATTCTTTGTTTTGTTTTCTTGCCAATCTATTACCAAAAAAATATATTATTTTTATATTAACGATTATGAATTTTTTAATATTTTAAAAATTAAAAAGTATTAATATTTTTTTCAACTAAACCATTAATCCTACTATTCATAAACCATAGCGCAAAGCAATACTAATTTTTTAATGAATAAAAGAAGACAATCAATCATACAACCAATCAAGTCTTGTAATGTATTTTATCTATATTTTTTCATAAAGTAATTAATTAATGATCCACTTCTTTCTGGATTCAAGATTAAAAATTCTATGTATGTGGTTCAAATAGAACCATAGGTAAAGGCATCCTTTTTGGGAAACTTTTAGTGCACTATTTTTATTATGGTTACTTCTAGCAACAATTAACACTTATACTAATCATGTAATGTTTAAGCACTAATTAGAATAATTTAGTATTTTTTTTTCTTACCGCAAATAAAATAACTAGCCCTAGTCCCTTACGGGTGCTTGGGTACCTTACTACACATTATTGATAGTTACATTAACTAATTACTTTTTGCCCATGCCTAAGCCTTAACATATTCAACCATTTTTATGGTGCAATCAATTCACAATCTTAATATCATTCAGAAACAAGTTTTAACCAACATTTAGTCTATCTAGTACATTCAAATATGTCCCTTTTTCAAGAGAACAACTTATCACTATAGACATGGCTAACTTTATTTTTTTTTAAATTTTATGTACCAACTTATAAATTTTATTAAATTAATCAATATAAATCCAAAAATCATGAAACCACCAAGGTTTTATTTCTTTAAATGTCAATTTTCACAAAAGGAAATGCACACCTAAATCAAAGACTCAAAGAATAACATGAAACTCAATTCCTCTCCGTTATTAACAAAATATCATTTTCAAAAACTAGTTTATTAGAAAAATTCATAACTAATTCATTATAACTCCAAAAATTATGAAATCAATAAAATTGTGTTCTTATAAGTGTCTATTATCACGTAAAATATTAACACACTCCATGACCTTACAAATTTTGTTTAAAGTCATTTTTTATTTTTATTTTTTGTAGGTTTCAGGTTGTCATGTTTCATTAAGAGATTCTTAGAAAAATCATATCTTGTTCATTTTAAATAAAAAAACTATGAAATCTATGAGGTTGTTCTTTATGTGTCTACTTTTACAAAAAAAATACCTTTTTAGACCTAGGCTAGATTACTATGCATAAAAAAAACTATCTCTACAGATCACATGAAATCACTTTTCACATACAATTAGTTAGATGGAAGTGATTACTTCCACCTTGGCCCTTGGAGGAAGCTTGTTGGAGTGATTACTTTGGGTGCTAGAAGTAAGTACTTTCACCGAATTTTCTCTCAAGATCTCAAATCTAATGGATTATTGTCCAAAAATTCTTGTACAATTATTCTACACCGTGCTGTCTGCAAAAGATAATTATAAAATCCATGCACATAGAACCCAAATTAAGAAAATTGAAATTAATGACATAATTGAAATTTTTATGGTATTTACATTTTCTAACTCCATTTTTTCATTAAAAATCTATTAAAAAGATAAGTAAAATATTGACAAAATGTAGATTCATCACCAGGCAAGGGCAAGGCTCACTTAAGTGAGGATTAGCTCGCTGAAGCGAAAGCGCGCGGGCTTGGAGGAGTATTTAAGGAACCCCAAAATAAAGAAATATCCATTTCTCACCAAACAACCTTCCTCTCTTTATGTTCTTTCACCTTTTTCCCTTAGAGAAAACCTTCTCAAGGCCAAACATCTTTCCAATCCAAGTGGGAATCCCTGTTTAGTGCAAATTTAGGTGAGCTCTTGGAACCTCATTCTCTAACTCTACTTCTTATTTCTTGGGTTTCTCTTATCTAAAGTTTCTATTTCTTAATGGTGAGGAGATCTGAGCCCTCGAGTATTATTTCTTTCTTTGAACTCATGTGAAGTGTCAGGCTAGTGATTTATTATTGAGTAATCTATCATATTTTATACTTGTTCAATGTTAATTGAAGGATTATTTGGTATTGAATAGATTTAGATGGAGTTTGAAATTATTTATTAAAAAAAAAAGTGAACAGTATCGTATGAACAATGTCAGATGAACAGTAAAATCACCTATGAACAGTGCAAATCGCGTACAAACCACGTATGAACAGTGACTGCTGATGTCATCGGTGACATCATCATGACGTCATGGCTGACGTCACATACGTGTACAGTGCATGTACAGTACGCGTGCATAGTATTTCTAGCATGAATAGTACCCTAAACAGTGTTTTCAGCGTGAACAGTAAGGCGATGAACAGTATTTCTAGTGGTGAACAGTAAATTTCAAAAAATTTCTATAAAAAGGGGGCTTCACACGAAATTTTTATTTCTTTACTCATATTCAAGGTTCTCAAAGGTTCTAAGGCCATATACTGTCATTTTCTCCCATAATAGACCCTCCTAAACTTAGATTTCTTGCCAGATCTGAGATTCTATGTCTATTCTGAAGGATTTAAAGTAAGTTTCTATAAGTTTGAAGTTAGATTTACCATTCGTTTCTCTTCTTCTTCTCTTTCTTATAGATAGTTGATGATATCTAGGAGAAACTCCGTTCTAAAGCCGAATCTTTGGTGAATCTTGTATTAAAACAAGTAATATTCGATAGATCTGGTGTGAATCATCATTCTGAGGCAAGGGGAGCTTACTTTAACCTATGAACTACATTTTGAACGGTTTAATATGCTATTTCAAGATGTTTTGATATGATTTTGTTAGATCTATTGAATAAAAGCTATTTTCTAAGCTGTAACTGCTGTTAATTGATTTAAAATGCTGAGATTTTGGCTGATCTATTATAAACTTGCCTTAGTTGAGCTATTAAAATAATTTTGGAGGTGTGCATCATGCTGAGATATATGTTTTGCATCATTATAGAGTCGAATTACTTGTTTAGGTGGGTAGATGTGTAACGGTAAGTTCATGCTGAGCTGTTGTGCTGTGCTGTCTGGATCCAGATACCGGAATGGGTCGCTCCTGGACCGGCTAGGTTCTTTCTGGATTACTTAGGCTGTGAAACCAGTTGGAAACCATTTTCATGCTGTGCATTAGATGGGCTGGAAATGCATGGGGTTATTGCTGTGAGAAATATATTTTGCTCTATATATATGATTTTATTTTATGTTTTGTAAGCTCACCCTTGCATTTCTTTCTATGTCGTTGTGTGCGTGTGTACTGCGATGATCATACGGTGGTACGTGAGCAGATGTAGCAGGTGTTGCATCTACTTCACAGGCTGAGGGGCCAGTGAAGAAATGTTAGAAGCTGGAGTCGAGTAATATTGCATCAAAGTTCTTTTTCCTTATATTTTGAGACCTCATGTAGAGGGAGCTATGTAATATAATTTTGGATATTTTAAATATTATGAACTAAATGTAATATTATGTTGTTTTATTGGATATTTGTTGTAAGAAACTTTGCTTTAATTTGAATGAGAAGTGAATTTTATACTTATATTCTCTATTAATTATTTATCTTAAATAAGTATGTAATGTAGAAAACAATGTTCTCAGTTCCTTATAAAAATGGGTCGTGACATGAAGTCTGATTTAAGGAAACCTAGTTCCAAGTAAAAGAAGCTTGCCTAGACTAGCCTTATTTATTTACTAGACGCTAAGATATTTATATGTATAATTTTGTTTTAGCTGAAAATGAGTTAGTGTATAAATAAAACTTAGGATAGAACCTAGAGCAAGTATGGCTGAGTGAATTGATTGTTGTTGATGGATGTAATGAGCCTGATGTGTGTATCATGAGATTTTCTATTGCTTTGTGACTGGTATGAAATTGTTCATATTTGAGATAGTTGTTGAATTGTTGTAGCATAATGTGTTGAGACTAGTTGATAAATATTGTGAAATAACATGTTTAAATGCTTACCATATGGCTCAGTTGTATTTGTGTGAAATGTCGCCATACTGGGGCCAAGTCACGTATTTAAAGGGGCATAGGCATGTAAAAGTAGGAAACATGCCTAGTTGAGGGCGTGAGCATGTAATGATTAGGAAATATGCCAAGTTAAGTTGTGCTTTATCTGGATCCAGGTACTAGAATTGGTCGCTCATACACCGGAAGATTATAGGTTCCTTCTGGATTTACTAAGGTGGTGATGCAGTTAGAGTTGAGTTGTTGTTGTTTGCATTAAATGAGTTGATAACGAGCTGTATTGCTGTGTTATGTGTTGAGAATTGTTGCAAGAATAAGTTTTATATATATATATATATATATATATATATATATTATATTTAATCGTGATTTTTATTTTGTAAACTCACCTTGCATATTGTCCGTGTTGAGGTATGTGTTGCAATGATTGTACAGTGGTACAGGTGCTATATCTACTTCTCATGCTAGAAAAATTGTAGCTTTAATTATTTTGTTAGTCTATATCTTAGTGATGGGTCTAGACTATTTAGCTACAATTTTCAGGAATGTAATTGTCATTTATAAATTTGTATTTTAAGCTACACGTGGAGCATCTATTGTAAATATACATGCCTATATAAAATTTTTGGACTTGTATGGAAATGTCGTTGGGACCTTATTATAATCCTTGAAAGGTTGAAGTTTAATTTTTGGGAAGATATTTCCTTATTGCACTATATAGGTATATTATCTCGCAAATAAATTTATACTATAGTAGCGATGCATGATGTCAATTGTAACACCTAGTATTTTTAAATATTAATTAAAAATTA